CTAATTGAGCATGTACTTTCGTGCATTACTTTCTTGTAGACGTTCCCCTAATAACCAATGTGCGTAACACAGAAAGCTGCAATTTGCATAAGATTGACAAGATTGACATTTTTCACCCATGGCAACATCCTAGTATGGCAACCTGCTCAGAATAATTTTTTCACCCAGGCTCAAAATTTGAATATACATCAGTGTTATTATAGGCTTGTCCCCATAGCAACATGAACCTTAACCTTCGTCATTTTGGACACACTACCTTACATATCAAGTAGCTATATTTATTCCTGATTTTCATCATACTGTTTTGACAACTTTTAAATGAGAGGCTCCCAATCCTTACATCTGATTTGGTGAGAAAGTACTTTGAATATTTGTAATAGTACTTTGAATATTTGTAATAGTACTTTGAATATTTGTAAAAAATATCTTTGAATATATGTAAAAATATCTTTGAATAGTTCCAATGCACCCTTGTCGAAGTTATGTATTGCACGTTATAATTCATAACTACTGGGGGTAGTTGTTTTGTCTGCAAAGTTAAAATTTACCACTAATCTGAATAAAGCATGGGTGAATAAATTTAGAGCGTAACCCATAACATATAAATCCCTTATTAAATTATTGGTATGTATTTGTAGCATCCACGTCTCAAATTTTATACATTGATTCTTTTTTTTTTAAATCCTGTGTTTGAATTCGATAGAAAAATATCGTCATTAAACTCGTAGGATTACGGGTACTGTCATATAAACCGCTAGAGGGCGGTGTCACTGCACGTCTCATCTCACAGTAGAATAAAAATGATAATTGCAAATACAAGGTTTTCAGTATCTACAACGATGTCATGTAATTCTAATTAAATTGTTAAACACGAGTTGCAGTAAGAAACATCTCAATTAACAACTCAAGATGAATTAGATTGATTAGTACAATAACTTACTATTTGCTTGTAGAATAAAAATAATATATTTTTGGTAATATAAATTATTAAGACCTGGATGAAGTAGCAAATCGTTATCACGTTTTATTTCACCATGTTTAAATGTCAATGTTGTCGTCATGCAGCGTATATTTGAATGGTGTGCAAGTAAATAATGTAATGTCACAAGACACATACCGAACACGACGAATCGCAGTGACCACCATCTTTTAATCTGGTCATTGGTGTATATGTGCAAATAGTAACTCGTCTTAGTATTTTCTTAGTATAGATTTTCTTCATTTTTCCAATTACACCAATTGTACAGCTTTATGTGATGCCAGTTGTACAGACGCACTTCACGAATATGGCAACACCAAGAAAGGATATTCTCATCACTTTGATTTGAATGCAAATGATATGTAAATATTTATTTACTATGGTAGTACTATGAAAACCATATCTGTAATTTAATCTTGATGTTAACCTTTTCACCACCAGTTCCTTTTTTTATAACAAATTCACAAATTATAGTCCTGTTTATAGTCTGCACTTTCCTTCAGAAGATTGGGACAAAAAATAGCCAAATTTTTTGAGTAAAAACAGAAAATTGACTGAAATGTTGTCTGTTGGCTCCAAAATTAGGGTTCATTTCCAGAAATATTAGAATATAAGAAGAAATTGCAGAAAAGTTTGGGCAAGAATGTCTAGTGGTGAAAAGGTCAAAACAACATGTCATTAACACACTATAGAGAATTCCATTTTAACTTTATTTTATTTCATTCCATCAAACTATTATTCCTACATCTAATTTCAAAATGTAGACATAGTACATACTCCTAGAAAACATCAATTCAATGAACAGATTATTAATTTTATAAATCCAAAACTTTATATCAACACAACACATCTATCTTCTTTTTATCTTGATATCTACATTAGCATCATACATGCATGACAAACTGTTGGAATTGTTATCCAATACTTACACTATGGTAGGTTTTAACCCTTACACCGCCAGTTCCCTATTTTCATCACAAATTCACAAAATTGAATATGTAAGAAATGTGAGTATATCATAACTGGATTTTTCAAAATTCTGAGAATCAATTCTTTATGTTTTTATGAGTGTTGTTCAAAAACGTTAGAAAAAGTAATTTAATTATACAATCAAATTCAAAAGCTAAAATGGATAGTCAACGGTCAAAGTCAATGAAATCATTGAAAGTTCAATATTTATTAAAAA